ATAATTTTATAATTTTTAAAGAAAATAATATAAGGCAAACCCAAATGCACAAACACTTTCCCATTTTTTGAGGGTAAGGGAGATGGTGATTGTACACCTTTCAAACAAAATAATATAAGATAATATAATGAGTGCTTTTTATTTAAAGAAAATACATGGAACATGGGAAGAAACTGACACCCACATGATGAGATGAGGCATGTTTGTTTGTGAGGGGATTGCATCTGCATATCGATCTCTTTCGAATCATTTAAATGAGTAAATGACAGTTTTTTGAAGGAGAGCGATAATGTTATTAATATAGAAATATTTAATACAATAAAAAAATTATATAAAAAATTAGCAAACGCTCATTTCGTCAATTCAGAATTTTTTAAGAGTGGTTAATTTTATATGTTATTCAATATGATCATAAAAAATATTATTATTCATGTACAAACCAATAATAACAAGAGATGAGAAAGAAAAAATATTCTGATTAAGAATAATAAAATCATCATCAGTAATTTAATTATTAATAATTAGATATTCTCACGTAACATGATCGTATCGTATTAAATTATTATGAGAAGATTTATTTTTGAAAATGCAGTAGAAAATCATAGTTAATCATCTTAATCCTTGCTTGCATCACACCAATAATATGAATATCACTGTTGAGAGGAGAAATATTTAATATGATCCTGGCTCATCTATGATTTAATAATTCAGGCCAATTAAAATTGAGTATTTTCTGACTTGTTTGTACGAATGAGAAAAAAAATTTGTTTTTTTTTTTTTAAGTGGCAGCTCCTCAAGACCTCGACGAAAGAAGTAGCTGCATCGGATTACCACAAACACTTTCATTAAGAGGGTGCCAATGCTGACTAAGATAAATACATAGCTTTTCAAAAATAAATACATAGTTTAATTAAGTGACTAGTAATTCCCAGCTGAATGTTGAGATTCATATATATTCCAGTGATTCCTAATCCATTATCTTTTATGCAATTTTCTGATCCGATTTTGTCTCCTGGTCACTGTCAAATCTACAATTTGATATTTTGATCAACTTTAATAAGATTGAGTGAACAAATCATGTAGTTGAATTGGTGTATAAGAGTTGAATAGATAGATAACCCAACGGGTGCAGTTCAGTTGGTAACTTGGCGCTGAGTTAGTGGGGTTGGATATGTGTTCGATTCCCGCTGAATGCATTCTTGGGGAGGGGGCTGAACCTTTAGCCATCACTGTTCCCCCGCACTCTGGATTAGTCTCATAGCCGGCTCAAAGAGCCGAAGCTCGTGGGGATACCGGAGGGAGCCAACTCGTCTCAAAGAGATAATTAGGGTTGGGTAGCTCCAAAAAAAAGAGTTGAATAGATAAGGATGATAAATGTATTCGATTTTTTTTAATATTATTTTTAAAACGGATTTAAAGCATTAATTTTGAACCTACTCGAATAAAATTGTCTTTCATAAAAAATACATGTGATTTATTATATATAAGGTAGGATCCTTTGACAATGAGGTAGGATCCTTTTACACCTAATCTGAGAGCCATTAGTTCAAAAAAGATCAACGACTCTGATTTGTAAGCATGTGACACCATTGATATTTTTTGATCTAACGGATCTCAGATGAAGTGTCAAATTTCAAATATGTGTGTATGATTTTGATAACTATTTTAAGTAGTAAAGAATTATATATTTAAATTTATTAAAATTTCATTTAAGTAATAAATCATGAATTATTAAAGCATAAAATTTTTATGTATTAATTATAATTTTTATTTTTAAAATATAGATTACATTTAAAGGAGGTGCATGGTTGTAAAAAAAATATTAAATTAAAGTGAGACTAAATTTGGAGTTATTTTAATATTTTTAATAACTTTTTTAATTACTAAATCAAAATATTTTTAGTATTACGCATGCACCGAGTTTTTGGTACATCTTTCACTTATAACGTGACACGTATTTTACTTTTGTTAAATTATTAATAAATAATTTATTTTAAAATCAAGTGAAAGAGTGATTTTAATAAAAAGTAAGATATACATTATGAGTGAAAAATACATCGAAAATTCAATACATTCGTGGCACTAAAGAAATTTTTATTATTAAGCAAAAGATAATTAAAAATATTAAATAAGTTTATTTTTCTTTAACGTTTTTTTTTAATTTTTTATCTATCTGGACCAACATGCTGACCTGGTTTTGTTCATCATTCACGAGATTATTTATTGTGTACTGGGATCATCATTTTTTAAGTGGTCCCTTAGTGTAAATAAGATGGTAAAATTAAAAAAGAGAGAAAATATCAGGAATAAAAAGAAAAAAAAAATTAATAATGTAAAAAAAAAATCAAAAAATTCAGTGATCATGGATCATATTAAATATTTCCATCGATCACACAGTCCCGGCCCTTTTCAATCACTTCTTTAAGCATTCAAAGTGGTATTTTATATAACATATTTTAATTAAGGGTTTTATAAGAGTTATGTTGTAGGAAAAGTGATTGTGTTATGTTATAGAGATTCGTTTTGCGTGCCGAAGTTTTTTTTTTTTTTTTTTTTGCTGCGGGCCCCACAAAATGTTGTGTGTGTAGGAAAATTTTTATGGTCATGTTAAATGATAGATGATAAACCCTTTAATTAATGTCAGAGTTTGCAGTTTGAACGATTACTATGTGTATAGCACTTTGACATGTGGATAAACCATGAAATTACGCAGCTTTAAATGAGTTTTGATAAATACGCTACGCAAAAGGAGTGATTTAAGGAAGGCAAAGCTGGCACGTAAATGGAGTTTCGGTTTTTAATCTGATTAACTCCCAAATTATGTGTCACAATTAGATATTGGATAGACATTGGAAGATAAATACGGGATTTTTTATATATATTTTTGGGATATATTATTTTACTTATTTTTTTTATGTCTACTTTACTTGCCATTTTATAACATCATTATATTAAAATCTCAATTAATATTTTTCATTTCTCTATTCTGTTAAGATTATGATATAATGGTATTGAAAAATGATGGATAATATAGGTATAAAAAAAAGTAAATAAAATAATTTATCCTTATATTTTTAACAATTACTTAGACTTATTTTTTGTTTTTGGATTAATTCCAAAGTTGTAAAAATAAAATAAAAAACAAAAGCAAATCCTACTCTAAATTTATATTAAAAACAAGGAAAAAATGTTTATCCTTTTAAATGACACAACTTATATCAATCACTCTTATAAAGAGGTGGAACTCACACTTTTATTTTATTTTTTGTCAATTCTCTCTTCTCCTTTATCTATCTCTTTCTATTTCTTAAAATGATATAACTTTACATCCTTCAAAATGACACACGTTTTTTCCTAAAAACAATGATAAAATGACATCTTTAATGCAATCAGTTGCAAACGGGAGAAATGTATTTATTGTTAAAATCTCGATTTATCACTCCGATTTTATATTTTTATGATTTTTTTTCACCAAAACGATTTTACTATATTTCAAATATTTTTACTATTTTTTACATTATAATTTTACATTTTACAATTTTTTAATCTCCTTCCAATTTTAGTTAAAATGTTGATTTTAACAACATTATGTACAACTGATTGCGCATAGAGGAAGTGTTTAAGCTAAACTATCATGTCGGCCAAGCAGGTGACTTGCACACACATCCCTCTGGACAACTCACAAGATCGTAATGCGAAAAAATTAATCTTTTAAAATTTAAAAATATTAAATTTATTATTATTAATCACCATTAAATAATTATATTTTTTCATTTTCAATCAAATAAGTCAAATTATTTATGGTCGAAAAAAAAAATTAATTATTAAATCGTAATTGATGAATTCAAAGTGTCATTGTCAATATTTAATTTTTCATTTAAAAAAAATATATATTAAATAATATTAGTTTTTTTTAATTTCCAGTCTGAATAATTCGAATTATCGTTTAGCTAATATTTAAATTCTTTGATTGAAAATAAAAAAAATAAATTGTTATATTATAATTAATTTTATTGATAAAATAAAATAAATTATCATTTAATTAAGATTTGAATATTTTTTATTTATCAAATCGTAATTTTTTATAATTTTTGGTAATTACAATTATCAAAATAGTTTTTTTCCAATGTAATTATAACCCATTTGATTACATCACGTGACACTGGCCGGAGGGCCGACAAAACGTGCTAAGCTCGGTGGGTCAACCCGTTCCACCCGCCAAACAGGGTGGAGTGGGTTGAGTTTTTCAACCCATCTAAAAAATGGGAAAGAGTTGATGGCGGACATAGGCGAAGTGAGGTGGATCAGTGTAAAATAAGATCTGACAGACGGGTCAACCCGCCCAGCCCACCAAACGGGGCGGGGCCGGGAGGAGGTGGCAGACCGAGTTTTTTCAGCCCATTTTTAAAAGTGGAGGGGGCAAACTGACTCATTTTATGACAGGTTAATGAGATGAAATGGACCCGCCTATTTTGACACTCTAGTTACACCACGCCTCTTATATATAATTAATTGGGTATTACTGGAGGACATAATTTTAAAGGGAAAAAAGTATCTAATGTTACTTTAGATAACTTTATCTAATGTTCATCAAAACGACGTCGTTTTAGGGTTAAAAAATTTAAAAATTAGAATGATAAAGACTATTATAACCCTGAAATAACCTAAAATTACAAAAAACACCATGATTTCCGCCCCAAAACGACGTCGTTTCGGTGAACATTAGATAAAGTTATCTAAACTAACCTTAGAAAACACAAACCCAATTTTAAATGTACATTATTTGAATAATTAATTTTAAAATTCATATTTACAATATGCAACCGCAAGAAAAGTAGAAAAGATTATAAAAATAAGAATAGACATTGACTAAGATGCCTTGGTACGACCTTTTCAATTTGCCAAGTCTCTTTCATTTCCTTCACCACCACTCTCTTCCATTTACTCTCTTTACATCCATATATATATATATAATAAACATCATCATAAGCATACATAAAGAGAAATTCACTAATAATATACATTACTTTAAAGCTATATAGAACTTGAAAGAAAGATCCAGATAGCCATGGCTGGTCTTCAAAGATCTGAAATGTCTTTCAGAAGACAGGGTTCATCTGGGCTTGTCTGGGATGACAGGTTCTTGTCAGGTGAATTGAACAAACTGAATCAACATGACCAAGAAGAAGAGCACCATCATCACAAGGACAAGGGTGAGATTAAAGACCTTAACGTAGCAACAGCAACAACCCCACCACCTGGATCAGGATCACTCAACACAATCCAAAGAAGCCGCTCCAACGGCGCTGCCCGCGGCTACCGGACCGGAAAAGTTTCTCCGGCGATCGAGCCGCCGTCTCCCAAGCTCTCTGTATGTGGGTTTTGCGCAGCTTTTGGAAAAACTAAGGACAAGGGTCAACGGTCAAAGACCGGTAACCGTCGATCAAGGTAGTTTGTTGAATCAACTCATGTCGTGCTGTTACCGTTACCGATTAATGTCCACTTTTATAGGTCTGGTTTTGTGTAGGTTAGGGTGAGTTGAGTTGAGTTTCTTATATTATGGAAAAAAACAGAATGATGAATTCTACCTCTCTGTTTCTCTTTTGCGTCTCACTTTTCAAGCTTTATTTTAATTATGTTAGATTAATTGTGCTTTTTATTTGTCTTAGATTAATAGTTTGATGGTGAGTTGGGTTGTAATTATGTGTATATTTGTTGGGCTCGTGAAGAATTTGATCTCTGTACAAATTAAGCAAATCTCGATTGGGATCTTTCACATGATCACGCTTATGCAAACTTGGGATGGGTTAGAAAATTGCAAAATATAAAAGGTTTGCTCATAATTGAACATGATTGAGCCCCCATCCTCCCCTCCCCCCCCCCCCCCCCCCCCCCCCCCATTTTTTTTTGTTTTATGAGATATTGATATATATGTGATAAATATGGAAAAATTTAATGAACCATAGTCTTTAAGTTTGATGTTTTTATGAACTCGCTTGGTTATGTATTTATGATCACATCAGACATCTGTGCATGGAAATTTAAGAAAATCACCACCATCCGAATCATCCCCATCCTCTATTTATTTATTTTATTTTATTTTTTTGTGGGGGGTGGGGGGTGGGGTTATGGTGATGATCATTAGCAAACAGAAGGGTAGGCGAGTTAGGTCAAATTTCATGTGTTGTTTCCTTGTTGATTCTGTAGCTACCGGAATGACTAGATGAACAAATTTTTTGTTCTAAGAATGGCTCGGCATCACATATTCATCCCAAATTCTTTTTTTTTTTGTTGGTAATCTATTCTAACCCTTTGTTAGTAGGGAAATATTTTTCTTATGTTATAGGAAAAAGTTATCTTATGTTGTAGAAATAAAATTATAAATAAGATCCACAGGTAAGAAGAGAAAGAGAAAAATGATGAGATTCAATATCTTTTTATGTGTGTAAGTAAGTTGTTTATCTCATGTAAAATGAGATAAACATAATGCTTGTTAGTATTATTGTCAAACAATAATTGTTGTGTAGTAGGGAATTAAATGGCCCTTTTTGACTGTAGAAGAAATAACTAGAGGCTGCATCTCTTTCTGCTGTTGGGTTTGGGAATTGAAATATTATGCATACTAGGAAAATCATCAAGTCAAAACAACGATTTTCGATAGGGATACTTTGGGTACGAGATGCAGTATGTTGTAACTTGTAAACAAACGGAGAAAAACAAATGATGATTGACTGTTGACCTATGAATTACGAACGGTTATAATTTTATGGTCTCCAACTTCTCGTGTTTAAGATCATTTTCTATGCAATCATAGTTATTGCATCTGTCATTCAAATACTTAGATTTTCTTTTTTCTTTTCTCTCAATTCAAGCGTCACATTTATTTTTCAATTTTTAAGTGAATGATGCGGCAATAATACCCTAAATATTTTCGTACTAAGAATAGTATATAATTGTAATATTAAATATTTTTTTTTCCATCACGTCAGCTGACAACTTTTTAAAAAATAAATTTTAAAGTTATAATTATGTATTATTCCTATACACAGTTATAATTGATTGCTACAAAAAAATTCTTTTGTAATAACATGAGAAGTGATTTTGCCTAATTTTATTGCCGAAGTTAATAAAATGAAAAAAAAAAAAAATGATCATTGACGGTTGATTCTATTGATAAACAAATGAAATTTTACACAAGATATTAGAAGAATTTTTAATTCAAATTACATTTCAATTGATGATATAATTTTTGGTCCATTCAAAGTTTCAAACTAATCTTTTTGGTCAATACAATTGATTGATTGTAATGGGAAATATAAAAACTGTTAGCAGGTAGCAGCCAGAAGAAGAAACGAATCCGAGTATTAATTTAATCGTCCATTAATGTCGGTGGTGCAGCATTCTAAATATTATTTTAATCGGCCTATAATAATTGATTTGAAAGTTGAAAAATCAAACATGTCCAAATCGAGATGGTTTTTTCCCCATTTCCATTGGACATATAGATCAAGTAGTGTTCCGCCCACGAGAAAGTGAAGGAACATGTTTCTGTCATAAGTGATTGTGTTTCCAAGGAATCATTGTCAAACGTTTCCACTAACTTCTCCTCCTAACCTTATTCTTTTGGGACATCATATACTGCTTTCCAATAATTAAAATTTTTCAAAGTTTTTCCTTTTCCTGTTTTCATTTCACCTTTTTATGATTTTTATTATTTTTTGTACCGTGTCGATACTCAATAGTCTTCCTTTCCCAACTGCTCGTCGGTGTATCCATTTTATTTTCACAATCACAACATTAAAATTTATTACTAGATATTAATATTTACTTGCTGCATTAACTAATTATTATGATTATTTATTTGAATTTTTCATTTATACATAAATAGCTTTTGTTTGATCTTTGAAGTCATCAAAATACATATTATTATATGATTATTTTTTTGGGTGGGAATATTGCACATATTTTGGATTTATTTGATTGTTATTTCAAACATCGGCTAGGCCGAAAATGTGGGCTACACATATTACCGACATCGCAGCCAAATTGGACCATCACCATAACCTATGCACCAGTGTTTCCTTTTCTTTTCTTTTATATTTAGAGTTCGCTTTTTTTAAATGTAAATAAGTTATCTACATTGAGCCCAAAACGACGTAGTTTTGAAGCAGAAATTAAGGTATTTTTATAATTAAAATTTATTTCAGAGTTATAATAATCTTTTTCATTATAATGTTTTGTCACTGTTTTATTTTACTTTACATTTTGTTAAATCAAAATATAATATTGTTTTGTCATGTTCTGTTTTATTTTTATTTATAAAATACAAATAAACATATAATAAAATTGATATATTATGTTCCGTCCAGTTTTATATGACACTGAATAAATCTTCTCCTTATCTATAATAAATTTCGTTCCAGCATTAATCATTAAAGAGTATATGAAGTAAATGCAATTAGAGAATTTTTTTTTTTTAACTTTTTTTATGGAATTTTTTTTTAAACTTTAATAGGTTATGTACGACTCTTAATACTAAAGGAGCGCTGTGAACCTTTGACCGTATGAACAAAGAGTCATCATCCCCCAGGGCATAAGCGTAGTGGAAAGGGTCGAAGCCTAGGGTCTTGTGGCATAAATGCACCAAAGCACCGGGTTCGATTCCTGCCTCGACATGCACATCTCGCGATTTACATCCTCTCAAAGTTCCCAAGGGCGTGGACTTGAGGGGGGGGTGATGGGCCGTAATCCAAAAAAGAGTCATCAAATCTCTCAATTAATATTACAAATTTTAGCATATGCTCTTCCAGTTCATTGGTGATGTTTTTTTTATGGGAAATGTTTATTTTGTTTTATTGATTGTTGTTGTTAAATATATGAAAGATCTTAAATACAATAGGTGCACCAAAAGATCCTGAAGTGTGAGTATGATTCAAATCTACGCAAATAGCATTACTTCCATGAGGCGAATCACCTTCCTGTAGAAATGTAGATGGTAGGGGAAGAATCAATGGAATGGGACAGGAATGGTGACCCAGATCTTACAAGATCAACTCCACAAATGTATTTCAACCTGAAAACCTTAACTTCAATGTTTCCTTGAAAGTCAATAATATGTCTGTTGCACTAAAAGTGATTTCAAAATGTCCCTTTGCAAAAAACTGCAAGAAAATGGAGTAACAAAGGGTATTGGGGATCAAGGATGGCTTAATTAGAACAGGTTGGTTATCCTCAACAAAGTGGCAATATTAGCTTTATGAAATTTTTTCTAGTATAAGCTATAATATTGACACTTAAAGTGAAGTAGATTAATCAGAAAAAATAGTATAATGGAACGACAATTCTTGGCAAAATGCTGGTATTGAAAATTGAGGGAGATCAAGCATAAGAAACCTGTGTTGTTGGCCTTATCAGAGGCAGCTGCAGCCCCAAAACTTGGGTTAGCGAGGGCCAAGTTTGGGGCACCCCTGGGCAAGAGGCAAGTCCAGGTTGTCTACAGTTCTGAAAGTTCTAGGTACCATCTTATCAACATACAGAGTTCCATCCAAGTGATCACACTCATGTTGTAAAATCCGTGCCTGCCAACCCGAAGCAGTTATTTTGATTGGCACACCATAACGATCCAAACCTGTAACCTCAACGTCAAGGTATCGCTCCACCGCCGCTCTAAATCCATCAACACTGCAAAATGTTATAACCATTGAAGATGTTAATGGTTCCCTGGATAAAAGGACTGAATATATGTTGTTGCACACAATATTGCTATATAAATCACAAACTATTAAATAAGCCAAGCTTATTTATTGTTTTTTTATTGCTGACTTTACAATTTTGAAAAAGCTGTTACCTACATCAATAATCAAGTAATGTCATTTGAATTGTAACCGGTTGGAATGAAATGCACCTAAACGTGGCATATTTACAATAATAGGACAAGACAACATTAAGATATCTCACTATACTGTTGTACATGCCACTTTGGGAGCTGCAGCCATGTTCATGCATTATACTCATGGTACTTCACCATTGACCAATTATAATTTAGAAATGCTTAAAGTTTAGATCTCTTCAAAGCTGATGGATATTGGACATGGAATTATAAAAACAAAACAAATACAGGTTCATATCAGAATACATAAAGTGAGTAAGCTAGACTTTAGCAATACTTCAAACATTCATACTGTTGGCACCGAACAATCACTACACTCGTCATCTGATTATGAAGTATGAACTATACCCAACACAGATCAGCATTTAAGGAATAGAGCATTCTGGTGATTCAAATGTTTTAAAATCTGAAATCATTTAAGCATATGCAGACAATCATCTTCAAGTTAATCTTCTGGTATTATCAAAACTTCTATCTACTCATTACAGGATGCCAACCAAGAGGTATTACCAAGTTGAGAAACCTTGTTTATGGAAGAAAGTAAGAATTAATGCTCTTTAGTCATTAAGCAAAAAATAATAACCCCCTAGCACATCATCTCTGAAGCAATTGTTTAAATGGAGGAATATATGCATCAGGCATATAAGAACCACAAAAGTTCTCTCTTAATAGAACAGGTTAAGAGAGAATCATTAGATAGCGTCATATTGGTTGCTTCAGTGACTGCATCTTCCTATTAGTTCTTCTTCTTGTTTGAAAGTAATTGAGAGAAATAGGATATGATCTTTAGGGGTGTGCAAAATAACCAAAAAACTGAGCTGAACCATGAACCGAACCACCCTTAAATAGCCGGTTTTAAAAAATCAGTTCATGAACCAAGCCGGTTTTTAATGAACCAGTTCATGAACCGAACCGGTTTTTAGAATCAGTTTAAGAACCGAACCATTTTGAACCGAACCGGACTGTTTTCGAACCGAACCGAACTGTTTTCAAACCGAACCAAATTGATTTTTATTAATTGATTTTTTAATTTTTAAATTTTTTTTCTTTTTAAAATACGATCGACCCGAATCGATTCCGAACCGAATCATTTAAACCAATTCGGTTCGGTTTTTCAAAAAATCCGGTTCAGTTCGACCCATGCACATCCCTAATGATCTTGGTCTCCTTCAAAATTTTACAGGAAGTTAGCCATTACCCATGAAAGAACCAAAAAAGACTATTGAGAGTCACGACAGTAAAAGTTCAAATAAGATATGCACAAATTTCATAGAGTAATAAGAGGAATGCTATAGCTTCTACTTCTCATCTCAGCTACTGAATTGTTATGACTTATTAGCACAGACACATGAATTGATAGTCTGGCAAAGCAAGTGTGGTAACACAGAAGGAAAATGGAAAAAGTAAATTATTGGCTCACCTCAAGCAACCTTCAAAAAAAAGTGCAGTCCTGTTGCTCTTCTTCTCTAGCTTGGGATTCAGGATCACCTGCCTCAAGAGAACTAATGAATGATGTACTGAAGTAACAGACCTTAAGGACAAAACTATATAGATTTAATTTTAATACTCTCTTTTTCTCTGCATATGAACATACCAAAAGATCAAAAGGTCGTCTATCTTGAGCTTGGGTCTCTTCCTTTGGGGCATAACTAATATATTCTTTGGTATCTTCCAAAACAATTATCTGCATACATGAAAAGACAAAAATGTATATTTTTAAACAGCTGCATATTATGCAGTAATATTCAGAAGATTTTAACTTAATAAACCTTGATGCTTTAATATTTCAGCATATTGTTATTTGTTAAGCAATAAAGATTCAGCCACCAATGAGTGAAAATAGGGTGGGTTGGAAAGATTTTATTTTTGTAAAGGGTAAACCTTCAACTCACTCACAAATCATAGGAATGGCAAAACTTTTTAAGTTGGAATGTAAATGAGTTGCACAAATTCACTTTCAATTGTTCCACATTGTTGTTTTAACCAAGCAAGCATGAAGTAATTCCATTCTAAATTTTTTACCGTTTCAAAACAAGTGCACCCTTAATCTATTAGAATTTCAGTCCCCATGCAGGCTGCAGCTCATTCAACCTTTTTTCTTCCTTTAAGTTAAAAAAAAAAAAATTAAAAAAATGTGTGATTAAAACATTTGAAATTCTAAAGAACTTAGTTGGACGACTTTGTCAATCAACTAGCTCCCTAAAAAATTTTATTCTAGGTTCACCACTGATATTTACACACATTTCATTATATCATCTACTTTTCTTCCTCACTAAACAATGATAGTGACACCAAAATAATAATAACAAATAATGAAATTGGCACACACACACACACACACACAAGGCAATTAAGCTAGAATGAATGAAAGAGGAGAAAGGCACAAATTTTAGAAAATGGGGAAGCCAGAAAACACAAAATTAACAAGAATAAAACTTACCCTGAAAGGAATTCCAATCTGGGGAGCAGCTAGACCAACCCCAGGAGCTTTCCTCATGACCCTGATCATGTCATCAATGATCTTCTGCACTCTCTCTGAATTTATCTCATTAGGGTCAACTTCTTGGGCAGGCTCATGTAGAACAGGGTCACCAGCTTTGACAGTGTCAGGCAAGTTCACCTTCTTGTTATCTGCTCCAAGACCCAAAAACCAACCTGCTCTTGCAGTAACAGTTTGAGAAGATTTGCAGCATTTGTTAACATCCAATGGTGGCCTTGCAATTGCAACTCCAGATAATGGGGTTGCAGTTGAACGCATAAAGATAGAGTTTTGGGCACCACATATGGGAAGCACACGCAGCAAGTGCTTGGCCACCATGGCCTTTTTCTCACTTTTCTTCTCTTATTTCTGCAGACTATTATCCAATTCCTCAACACCACCAACAGGGTGTGTTTTTTGGGTTCGGTTAGGTTAAAGTTATGGTACTTTCAGACCCAACCCAAGGATGAAATGTAGTTTTTTTTTGGTATTCAAGATGAAATGTAGTTGATTGTGTTGACAATGTTATTGGATTTTCAAATAATTCTCAAGTATTTGATGATTAATTGGGAGCATATCAAGCAATAAAAATGTCTTATTTTGAGAGTATAAATAACAAATTTTGAAATTGTTTTATAGAAAAATTATTTATTATTTTAAAAAATATAATTTTGTATATTTTAAATGAAAAGATTATATTTTAATACATATTTAATAATTTTCTTATTATATTTTTTCTCTACAATATTTTTTTTTTCTCTTCTTTTAATTTCCTAGAGGAGATAATATAAAAATTCATCAAATATATATCAAAATATTGTAGTTTCACTTAAATTGAGATAAAATTGTGTATTTTAAAACGACATACATTTTTCTCTTATTAGATTATTCAGATATTTAAATTATCAAATTATGTAAAAAATATTGATAGTCATATAATTTTTGAATGATTTTAATTTTTAACATTTATGTTTAAGAGCTTGTCTCTCTAATCTTAATCTATAATAATAATAATAATAATAAAAACTCTTACTTTATTTGATTGTTTTCGATGAATTTTTAAAAATAGAAGGCGTCAAGCAATTATAAACTCTTGTCGTAACTGCACCCTGTCGGCAGCAACATCCTCCTGTTGTGGTTCGAAGATGTCCCGCAAGAAATTCTTACTAGCTTCTCATGATGTAATGGTTTCTTTATATTGAATGAGTTTGAGTTTCTTTTATTTATTTACATTTAGAAGTCCTATATTTAGATATGAAATTTTCTACAATTTCCTTCATAACTAAGAAGGGTTTCTAGCTATTTGTATACCCTACTATTAGTTCTTATCTGTTAGTATTTTGTTTACCGGAACTGGATATCTATCCATCTAAACACGAATATTGGATATGGATAATAAATCTATCTATAGTATGGGATAGAATCCAAGTCACATTCAGGATTGTAAGCCCATGCAAAAGATTGCTTTTGTATTCCCTCATCATTTTCCTTTTCAGAGTCTCTCTATTTGTACGCTGAATAATAGTAATGGCACCACCAAATTAATGGCAAGAAACGGCAGGGACTCCAGAAATTTCATTAAGGTGCGTTTTATTGCCATATTGTTTTTTATTTTATATTATATATCAATTGATCGATTATTCAATTAATTCGATTTGAGTCCAATATGACCACATAAATGTGGCAAAGTTTTATTTATCAAGTTTTAAGGGACTTGAATTTAAGAACATTGTTTAAATTATTAATTATCAGCTTGCCCTTTTAACATTTTTTGCATTTCTACAGCATGGCAATATGGCATGGAGATCTATAACTTTTTTGAGAACCCCATGTGCATAATAGCTTCCCAGACCTTCTCAATCAATGTCGCCTATGGGCATTATGTACGAATCTTGTTATATTATCAAAGTTTAGGCAGGTTGGTATAGATGCCAGGTTGTCAATTATTAATTATTGATTACTTTTAAGAATTCAATTAGGAGAAATCATTATAATATTCACTCAGTGCATAAGTTACTAATGTATACTAAATGTCTAACTAAATCAATGAACATTTAATAATTTTATAGATCTTTGAATAAGATAATTATTTTATGGGATTTTTAAGTTAAAAAAATAAAATATTTATTATATTAAAATCATAACAAATGCTTGTCTTTAAAATAAGGATTCGCTTTTTCTACAGTCAAGGTAGATAACTTATCTATAGTGAATCCAAAATGACGTCGTTTTGAAGCAAAAATCAAGATATTTTTGTATTCAGGGTTATAATAGTTTTTTTAATTTTTCAATCTAAAACAATATCGTTTTGGAAGCGAATGTAGATAACTTATCTACATTTACTTTAAAAACATTAAAGCCTTAAAATAATTACGAACATTTAATCAAAAATATAATCATCTACTCTTAATGAATCATTATAATATTGGAAAAGTTAATCTCACACACCAACTTACTCACCAAACACTGCGCTTTGCAGGGTTACTACTTTTGGGTACTCATCATGTGTTGGGCAGTACCAGGAAATTGAATTGGTCTATTGCAAATGGAACATCCGTGTGGGATAATTGTAGCCGCTAAGACTTGATTACTTCAATGTTGAGACTTCAAACACTTCACTTTTGTACGCGCCGTATCTTTTGTCACCCATCTTTGACGATGGTTTGAAGGGGAGACCAAGGGATGTTGAAAAATTTAACACCGACATTTAGAAAAGAAAAATAAAATCAAAATATCAATTATATAATATTCCCAATTGCTTGGTATATTGTATTATTTTATGTCTTTATAAGGAAGCACATGAGCCTATGATTATATATATATATATGAAACATCCATTTCATTATTGTAAGTTGTAACACAACATAGGCTTTGACATTCAAGAAATAGAAGCAACAATGAGAAGGAGCTATATCCAACCTTCACGCCACAACCATCAAGCTTTTTCAGACGAGCACGGAAAGGAAGAGAGTACAAATTTCAGAGAGAAGAGAAACACAGCAACATCATCATCAACAACAACATCACTCGGGACAGAGAAGAAAGAGACCTCTGATCAGACAAAGAAGCTGGAGAGGAAGCCAACTGAAGACATAAATGCTAGTGCTGAAGCCTTCATCAAGAACTTCAGGCAGCATCTACTGCTTCAGAGGCTCCAATCCATAGAGAATTACGAGCAAATGCTTGCAAGGGGACTTTAGCTCATAACATATCCTCATATACAATATACCAATAAATACTTACATTTGGTCTTGCGGCTATATATGCCTAATATATATGTATGTGCTATATATATATATACTGTGTTATTTGTTGTTTCTTTTCCCCCTCTTTAATGCACAATCATGGTTTTATACTTAGGGTGAGAGATATTAAACAAGTATGTAGAATAATTATAACTCTGGCCTTCATTTGGCTTATGGTTGCAACCTGCAATACCTTTGTATAATGATTTTCTTTTTAGCTTTATATCATTCCTCTATGTATAGCTTCCGTTTATGTATTCATATTGCCATATGCATAATTTTTTTAAATGACTTTTTGTGTGGGGTACACTTAATGAATTTATATCAACACTATATCTTACACATAAGGATCCTCAAGTAAGTTTATGATTATTCACCAAAAAAATGTTGATGAATTAAGTATTGATTAAATCAGCCCTAATAAATTGAAAGATGAGAGATATGTTTCAAGTGTGGCAAGGAATGTTTTGCACATGGCAATTTTAAGAACTTGGATCATTTAGTTGTGACTTTGAAGTCTCGAGCGAATACAGTATCCAAATGACCAAATCGATAAGCCCATCATATTTCTTGTTCAAAAAAATGTATATGTATCAAATGGATCCAACGGCTTAAAGCCTTAAAGATAGGAGCTATTATTTTAATTAGGACCATAAAATGTATCATGGTTATGACATTTTTTCTCAAATAGATTACGTATTACCTTACCGTGATTTAAGCTATTTCTACTTTTTATATACCAAATTAATTTGTGTCACATCATCATCATTGCATTATGTTAGCTTGTCGTGAAAAAGTATAATCACGATTTAAATCTAGGGATATCATCTTCTCGTACAAAAGCAGAAGAGAAATATTCTTTTGCTAAGCCAAAATCGTAACCGCTCTATTTAAAAACAAAATAAAAAAATAAATGGATTGGCACGGTTTTCAAAGAGTTAGCGGAAAGTTCTTTTCTTCTTCGACTGCAGCAGAATTATAAAATTTTAGGTGGTGTTTGGTTCTATTCTTTTCAATAGTTTTCTAGGCAAAAGAAGTTTGGTTTCTAGAAAATCAATGTTTGTTTCAACAACTTTTAACCAAAATTCTTCATCCATGTGAAATGCATAGCTTTTTGAGAAAGATAGGAATTTGTAATGTTTAGAAACTGGATTTGAGGGTGATTTTTTGAGAAAATCCGGGTAAAGCACTGTTGACACACTTTTTATCATATATTTCTCTGATAAAATTTTGTCAAGCCAAACTACTTTTTTTTTAACTTCCCCAACTATTCAATTTTTCCTATAGATATCTAGTAATTACATTTCTCTAGTATTTTTAAAATTTATCTTCAACCAAATGTCCCCTTAGGGACATTTGGTAGAGGAGAATTTTTTTTTATTCGAAAATCTCGATTTTCAAAAATATATTAAAAATATTCAGTTTATAATAATATTCAAAAATTAAAAATTTAAAAAAAATTAATTTTCTAAAAATCTTGAAAAATACCGATTAGCAAACGCCCCGTAAATCTGTATGCTAAACAAACTATTTGTCTTTTCTTCCAAGTTCAAAGTTGGCAAGAACTTGGATTTTGATTTGATTTATACCCTGTTTGATTCTATACCGAATTAAATTGATAGTCTCGACATTTATCACTAATTTAGTCTTCAAATAGTAAATATGTGAAAAAATGTTATCTGATGCCAAAATTTGACACAAAAATATTATTTAAAAAAAGGACTAATTTGATGTTAACAGATTTTATCAAAAGATTAATTTAATTTCAAAATAACATTTATTTAGTAAATTAAATGTTCGAGGTGAAGGAAAACTCTATATAATTTTATGATAAGGCAAGCTACGAGCAAGAATATTTGAAGTATACCGTTCTGGTAGAGTTAGGAAAATATTAAACACTTCTTATGTTTTTACCATATTAAATACATATTTATTTTTTAATTAATATTTGTATAGAGCATTACAAAAAAAATTTAAATAATATAATAAAACTTTTTCTTAAAATAAGTTATTTAATAAAAATTAAAAAATATTTAATGTCTGTCTTAGGGTCTCGCGTGGCCCTAACAACCCTTGGGCCAAATAGGCTGAAAGTGACCAATCCTTTAACGCATGGCCACTAAGTTTAGTCACATTCCTCTCAGCTAAGCCTAAAATTTTGGCACAATACAGGTCACCTTGACCTTTACCATGTCCCATCTCTCTCCTCCTCTAGAGTCAGGTGTTGCTTTCCCGCTTTGTAGGGTCTTCTTTTATATATAAATTTTACCTGTTTTGGTGATATAAAAATTCAACTTAATATTTCTTATATTATAGAAGATAAATTTTATTTGTTACTTGTATAAAAAAAAAATCTCCTATACACATATAAAAATATAAGAGGTTCATGTGAGTTCACGAGAGAAAACGTGAACCTCATATATTTTTATATATGTATCAGATAAATTTATTTTCTATAATATGAGATACAATAAGCCCATAAAAATTTTACGTGTCTCTCTTTATATGATAGAATGTCAACTATTTAGTGCTTATAACGACGAAGATAGCCACAAAATTTTTACATATAAATTTATGCATAAGAGGATATAATTAAGAGGATAGACAAATTAAATAATAGCAACAGTTGCCTATTTAGTTTCAACAACCACTACTTGAAATTGATAATCATACACAAATCATAAACAAAAAGAGAAAGAGGAAGAGAACTGACACAATGGGCTGAACCTTTAGTCATCACTGTTCCCCCGCACTCTAGATTAGTCTCATAGCCGACTCAAAGAGTCGAAGCTCGTGGGGATACCGGAGGGAGCCAACTCGTCTCAAAGAGATAATTAGGGTTGGGTAACTCCAAAAAAAAAGAGAACTGACACAATGATTTATCCTGATTCACCCAATGTAAGCTACATCTAGCTTGTCTATATTATATTTACCTAACCGCCACTCTTTACAAGTCACTCGAACTACAAGGAGAATATAAATAAGATTAGAAAATCCTAACAGCAGTTATTCATAGGCTAAACTACTAAAAAAAATATTACAATAAATCATAGGCTCATAACAGTACCTAGCCTCTACGGGCCTAGAGGCGTTGTCCCGGGGACCCCAGTCCACTCACCTGGGAGCGGGTTGCCTTTCTGCAGACTCCGATAACAAAGACCTTCATCAGCATGCGAAATATTGTTAGATATCGACAATCACACAAATCACAAACAAAACAAAAAAGAGAGAGAATTGACAGAGTGATTTACCCTGATTCACCTAATATAGGCTACGTCCAGCTTGTTTATACTATATTCACCTCCCCGCCACTCATTACAAGTCACTTAGTTTACAATGAGAATATAAATAGGATTAGAAGAATTATAACAACAGTTATTCATGGGCTCAAGGTCAAACTACTAGGAAAAGAAAAAATTACAATAAATCAGAAGCCCACAACAGTACCTAGCTCGCTCACCTGGGAGCAGGATCCCAGTTGCCTTTCTGATGATCCTGACAACAAGAGAATTCATCAGCATGCGAAATGTAAGTCATATCCAACAAGTATGAGCCATATACAACAAAATTAAGTCTATAGAATAATAAAAATAGAATTGGAAAAACTGTCCTCTATTTAAATTCGATAATACTGAATTAGGATAATTGAGTTTCCGATGAATGGTTAAAAAAAATTAATATTATGTGCGGAGATCCAGCTCAAGGAGAATACAAGTCTTTTACAACTCAAAAACACCCTCCCCCAGTATCGACCTTCGAAATAAGAATTTGCTAAAAGAATTTTCCTTATGTAATATGACAAGACCACATCAACCTAAACATGGTTGCCGGATCCTGCCTAACATTATTGTCGATATTCTCATTGAACTTTGTAACATTGTCTTGTTAGGTAGAATTTTATGAAATACAATCGAATGAGAATATAATAATTAAAATGACTATTTCTAATCTACAATTTTTAACTTTAACAATAAAATTTATTTTTAATTATATCATTGTTTGGCATACCATATCAATATATAATGAGATTAAAATTGATATAAATAATATAAACATAATAGTTTAAAAACAAAAGTTGAGGCTTTTTTTTTATTAAGTTAAGCAGGAGCTAGTTTTGAGGTGACTGAACAGTGAACACACTGGTAGTCTCGTTATATATCATACAGCTTTGTTGATTTAGCTATTCCAAAAAAATAAATAAATCATTTTTTAAGTATTTTATATGTAATATAAATATACAATTTTTTTCATAACAGTGTTCACGATTTAACTTTTTTCTTTTGCAACTTATTAATAACAATCATAAAGTTTGTTGCTTATAACAAAAATAATGAAGAACATAAAGACAAGAAATGAGATAATTATTTTACCTCCAATTTATAAATTGTTAAATAAGCATATTTTGACTCCTCGAAAGTGAATAATGTACTTCAAGAGACAAAAGTACAAAATTATACTTAATAAAATAAATTTCAATAATTTTTCAACCATTAATTTTTTCAACTTTTTTAAAAAGAAAGTTTACACTTTATCCTTTAAAATACCTTTCTTCCCATTTGCTACCATGTCAATGTGGGTCACTCGGACACACAAAAAGTAACAAAAACGAGTGCTCTAACAAAAATTAAATTAAGAACAGACCAGCAAAGCAAACTCCACTTTGAAAACAACCAAACAGTAGCAAAAGGACCACTCAGTTTTTGATTAGGAACAATTGGTGAATTGTTTATTGTTACAAAAGGAAACAAAACATAAGAAACAGAATGATACATTAACAACTAGACAACATAAAAATAAAGAGAGAGTTTTCCTCGTGGCATAGTTAACAACTCTTGTTGCTGCAGTTCCACCTCACAATTGCTGGACCATATTGTGTATCTGCTGCTGATTTTGCATCATCTGAAGGTTCACACGCGAGCATGATCTTGCCACCTCACCCACTAAGGGTATGACAGGAAGGCTATCACAATTGCATATCTCAATCATGAACCCATCTGGGTCATGAAAAAATAGCTGATCTACCTGTATTCCACCTTCTTCTACCGTTGCTCTTACATAATCTATCTCCATCTCCTTCAGCTTCTTCTCCACTGCCCCCATGCTCTCACACTGTTCAACCCAATTCAAATCACAGATTATATAAAATTCCTCATTATTCAAACCACTTTGTCATAAGCTTTTGTGTGTGTGTGTTTATCTTTTCAACACAGTCACGAAAGTGACATGGAAATATCTTTATTTAATTAAATCATTGATGTGCTCTCTAATTTGGTTGTTCCTAGAAACACTTGCAACTGCAAAAATTGAAACAAGAATGTCAAGATTGAAAGCACGCCACTATAATTGGATCAATGATCAAACCTGGAAAGATATATGATTATCCTTTGGATTAATTTCTTTCTTCCTTGGCAAATTCTCAGGATCTTCTGCTTCTAGCAAATGAATTCCAATACCGTAGCCAAATAGCCTGCAAAGTTACCACATAGAAAATCAAAATCCAACCAAATTTTCTCCCTAGGAAAAAAACCGTAAATAACAAATATTAGAGAAAAATTTTTACTATGTTCCTCTCATGTTTCTTTGTCTATCTAATCTCAAAAAAGCTACGTAGGGGTTATTTTCAATTGAAAAATTAAATTATTTTTTATTTTTAATGATCATGTGTGTGAAATTACCATGCCCCATCAAAATCAAAAGAACCGGGCCTCCTGATTGGGAAAAAACCAAGAACGTTCTGGTAGAAGTCCATAGATTCTTCAGCTGATCTGCATACGAGGGAGATGTGGTTCACAGACTTGAGGTGCAAAGGGTTTCCCACAGTGTCCTTCATTTTCTCAAGAAAATTATCTCAACCCCACCAACTTGAACAAGAAGAAAATGCTCACCCCAAAACCAAAGATCAAAACTTTAGCGAAAAAAACAAAAACAAAAAAAGGTGTACGAAAAAAAGGAACTAGTGATCTAACAAGAAGGTTTGTCACGGAAGCAGAACTACTTAAGCAAAATGGGTGCTGCTCTATATATAGACCATGAAGCCGCTAATGTGCGCCACGTGTCATATACATATTATACGTGTCAGATACGTATTTTCTCTGTCACATCAATTACACGTTGCTGACTAGGATCATGTGGTTGTGATGTGGGTCCGTGACACGTGAGCTTGCATGCTCAGGATTTATGTTGTTGCCATAATTGTGATTAGGTTGCGACCTTAATTATTTTTAGGAAGAAGAGTGTATCATTTAAAAGATGTAAAATTGTGTCATTTTAAGTGAGAGAAAAAGATAGATAAAAAAAGAAAGAGAGTGGATAGAAAAAAAAAAATGTGTAAATCTCACTTCTTTGTGAAAGTGAAAGGATATAAGTTGTGTCATTTAAAATAACAAACACTTTTTTCATATTTTTAGTATTTTAAAACTACTAAACTTTTTTTTATATACAATCAACTAGTAAACTTTAGATTGTACGTAAAAGATTAATTTACTCTTGCGTATGTTCTCATATAATGAATTCTCTTAGATAACTAATGCCGCTACTTCAAATCTAAATAATAACTATATTTCGTTTTTGAGGAAAGTTATATTGATAATTTTTATTTTATTTTAAATTTACAAATTATATTATATTTTATCAATAATATTTTATTCAAGAGTATCTTATAAGTAAATATATTATAGTTTGTACAAATTTATAAATATAACATTTCTCATTTTTTTTTTAAACAACAACTATACTTCCTCCCTCACTAATTAATAGGTCACTAGGGATAGTTTAATAGTGAGAGAGTTAAAGAGTGGATAATAAATGTTGTATTTGATTCTTATTGTATTAAAAAAACATTACTAGTTAACAAACATAAAAAAGAAATATATTTACACGAATTATATGGAACATGTGGGACCATCCATCATGTAATTATATCATGACTCAGCATTGGAAGTGGCGAAGTTAGGAAAAGATTAGGAGGAGTGATCATCTCCCTTCAATTTTATCGTACCGTTGTCTTAAGTTACTTTTACGGAGAATTATTTGTTTATAATTTTTTTTATAAATTTATAAATTATATTATATATTCTCGAAAATATATAATTTAATCTAGTATATATTTCTAAATATATAATATAATTAATAAGAATTTATAAATAAAAAATATATAAATATAACCCTCTCCTACTTTCATACTTGAAATAAAAGATGTTGTAGCATACATTTCGTTTCCTTTATTTTATTGTATAAAATAAATTGTGAAGATTTCTTCAAATCTTACTATGTGCCGATTCACTATTGTATTGTACTATTTATGTAAATTTGAATTTAATTTCTTTGCTTTTTCCACAAATTTTTTTAATCTGTCATTCTAAATATTATCATTTAAATAAGAAAAATATATAAAGGTGAAATCTTTCTAAAAATAATCAATCGCCACGTGGCAATGCAACTCCTTCCGAGAATCAGGTGGTGAGAGTTACTAAACTCTTCCAGGCATTGTGTTTAAATAATGCCAAGGACAAACATAAAATCACTTGCTAAGCGATAATCTAGCTATAGAAGAATGTTGCGTCTACTCTATTCCATTCTTCATGTTTTTTATATTCTCTTTTTTTATTAAATGCGTCTACTCTACTCTATTTAATTTTATCTTGCTATATTTTATTAATGATATTTTTATTTTATTTTTAAATTATCTCTCTTTTTATTTCAACAATTTGTATTCATTACGTACGCGATAGTATATATACTGATAAATTAAATCACATTAAAAGTGTTGTATAATGTTTGAAGTGTTGTCGCGGTGGTGTTGTAGAATGCTTGAAGTGTCATTTAATCAATAATTATAATATCACCATTAGATACGAAATCATTTGTCGCATAAATAAGTATGAATTTTTTAGTTGAAGGATAAGGATGATCATCGCTCTCCAAATATTAGTAAGAGATTAAAATATTGGTACGTACAAGTTGTATATATAGTTGATGCTTGGACGAATGGTTATGCGCATAAGAACAGCTAATTGATATGTCTTTTGCGAAATCTGCTAATTAATAGCAATCCAATTGCTATATATGCCTTGATGGTTTGGAGCTCTTGTCGATGATCATTAAAAAGTTGTTATCATCAAAACATGGGTTTATCGAGAAAAAAAAATTTGACATGATGGAGCGAAATGTATTATTTATCTGATCTATTTCATAATCATTATTTATAACCAAAAATGGTTTAATTATATTATAAATCAATATAATGATCTAAATTATGAGCCGTAGCGGCATCACTAGAAAAAAAAATTAAAACAAAAAGATAATTTACTTTCAAAGTTTGAATATATAAATTAGAATTTTAATTTTTTTAATATAAAAATTTCTATATTATCTTTTACTCATGTATTACTATATAATTTAGATCCTCATTGTAGAGGACTTATTGTGCTGCACACTTCGGCGGGTGTGCATGACAATCTTCTCGGAATCAATTTTTTTTTTTTAATTTCTATTACCGGGAACAGAAATGAATAGAAAACTCGTTTGGTAAAATCAATTTATTTTTTGTTCCCCGAATGAACCGGTTTAATTTTTGTGCTGGGGAACAGAAAAAAAGAATCAGAAAATTTTTGCTTTTTGGTTTCCGAGCACAAAATGAGAAACGCTTATCTTTCTCAATCACTCTTCACCTATACCATCATCACCACCACCATCATCCCGACACGACCACCGCCACCATCGTTTCCGCCGCTGTCGTACCACTAGTGTCGTCGTCACCACCCCTCACCACCACGATGCCACCGCCACCATCACCACCACCTCCACCCATCACTACCACCATGCCATCGTCACCACCACCTCCACCCATCACTGCCACCATGCCATCGTCACCACCACCTCCACCCATCACTGCCACCATGCCATCGTCACCACTACCAACACTACCATTGCCGCTGCCACCACCACCACCACTATCAGCACCGTCACCACCATCATCACCACTTCTGCCATCAACCACCATCATCGCAACCACCACCACTATCACCACCATCGCCACCACTATCACCACCACGATGTCACCGCTACCATCACCACTAATGTCAGCAACGACCACTACCATTGTCACAACCACTACTGTCACCATCGTTGTTGCCGCCGCCACCACCAACCACCACCACCATCGTCACAACAACTACCGTCACCACCACCATTACACCACCCCCGCCACTACCATCACCACCATTATCATCACTACCACCATCACCTACCACCATCGCCACCACCGCAGCCAGTGCCACCACCACCATCGCCACCACTACCACTACCACGACGTCACCGCTACCATCACCACTACCATTGTCGCAGCCACTACCGTCGTTGTCGTCGTCGCCACCACCAACCGCCACTACCATCGTTATAGCCACTACCATCACCACCACCACCATTACACCAGTACCCCCGCCACTACCATCACCACGCCATTGCCACCACCGTCACCTACCACCGTCGCTGCAGCCATTGCCACCACCACCACTACCATGATGTTATCACAACCACCACCACCATGCACCACTACCATTGTCGCAGCCACTGCCGTCACCTCCACCACCACCATCCCCACCACTACCGCCGCCACCATTACCATCGTCATCGCTACAACCATTGCTGTCACAACCACTACCATTATCATCACCGCGTCACTGCCACCACCACTACCGTAACGCCGCCGCCACCACCACCATGCCACCCCCCGACACCACCTCTACCACAACATATGAAAAGAAAAGTGATGATCCAAATTTTTTTTATATTTAATAGGAATTATTTTTTATTATGTTATTTGTTGTGTTATCAAACACAATTCTCATTCTCGGAATAAAAATAGAACATGTTATCAAACACAATTTTTTTTTCAGAAACTGTTCCAAGGCACAAAAATAGGAATGAATTTTTTCTTTTCAGAAACAGTGCTATGGAATAGAATAGTTTTCATGCACACCCTACACCTCACACGCAGTGGCGAAGTCACATATAGTTTGGTGTGGCCTCGACCCGAGCTAAATATTAACAAATTATACTTGTTATATATAATTATATAATTAATTATAACTTGACCCGGACTACAATTTGTAATTTGGCCCTATCTAAAATTTAAAATATTTTTGTTTATGTGTTCAATTTTTACTTGTATAAAAAAAATATTTTTAGTAAAATTAAAAAATATTTTATTAAATTATAATTCTTCTTAGTGTTGATTGTACAAGTGCTCTATATTTAATATAAATTAAATATATTATGATATAAATTAACTAAAATTAAGAAAAATAAATATACATACTTTTTTGATCGGACTTAAATTGGAGCTGGTCACACCTAATGCACCAGGTGAACTACATATAGGAGTTCACAAGGGCAAAATAATTATAACTTATCATTAAGGGATCTTTTGCACCTATTTATATCGCTTTTCGACGATGGAGATATCTTTTACACACTATTTTTTTAGAGCTATTATGTTGTTGAATTCTTACTACAAAGCCATCATCTCCATTGAGTTTAGATTTATACAGCTGCTTCAAACAAATTTTTAATATTATCGTTGCGCTGAGCATGCGGTGACGATTATATTATAATTATGTACTCTGAGAAATACATAGTTATAATATTAAAATTATATTTTATCTTTTCACTTCATCCATCGACAAATTTTAAAGAAAAAATTTAATATTATAATTGTATACTTGACAAAATATATAATTATAATATTATCAATTGAGCAACAGTAGTACTTAATATTTATTCTTCAGTCTCATAGATCACTGTTACTTTCAAATGCTACCTCATCAAGGGAAACAAGTCATTCCATCTCCCAAACAGCTCAACGATCATTACATAAAAAATTTAATTTTTTTTCATAATATACTACTACATCATTAAATAATTTTAAAAAAAATCACTAAGAGTAAGTTAAATTTAAAGTCAAAATTTATTCAAA